TTATTTGAGAGCTGCCTTGATTTATTTCACAATAATAAAAAGTAAAAAGTACCAAATACCCCACAACCCAGAATAATTAAAAATCTTAAATAATAAAAATTTTAGTAATAAGCAACAAAAATGCAAGCTATTTTAAATTTAGTAGAGTCACAACTCAGTTAGTTTTTGGAGATATTAAAGGAAAACATCTATTCCCAATTAGCCCACCTTCCATACTGCTAGTTTTTCTTTTCTTTTTTCTTTTCCTGTCTTTTTTTTTTAACAGTACATGATTGTCAAATCAGGATAATTAGTATACTCATCTTTACCCAATGTAATCATTCTTTGTCTATTGCTGTGGTTTCCTTTTTTTGTGGCTGGTTGGTAGAGAGATCCAAACATTGACCTTGTTATCAGCACCATGCTTTAACCAAGTGGCAACTGGCCAACCCCCTATTGCTGTAACTACTACACCCAACAACACTATTACCAGTGTGGCCATGCCAGTGCTTCTGATGTGGACATGAACTGGAGCCCAGCCTGAAGGAGCATGGGCATTTGTCATGCAGATGATGTGTGTTCTGTTGGAATACTCAGCATCACATTCGGCTTCAGCTATGGTGATGTGAACATCCTCTATGTTTTCACTGTAAAGAAAAAAGGAGAAAAACAAAACATTTTTCTCAGATTTCTAGATCACACTGTCAAATTCTTTTATTCATATGTATTATTGCAAAAGTAATTATCTTATCCTATGATCAATCAAAGTGTAGATTGACACTTTTTGTTCAGTACTAAGACTTCAAAATATCTGTTGAAGAAAAGTAAACAAAGAGATTAAGAGGCCAGAAAATAGGACTGTACAAACTAGCAGATATTTCAGTGTTGGAGAAAACTGTCTGGCTATTGGTGCTATTTTGTGCCTCAAGTGTGACTTATGAGCAGATAGGCATGCATTATATGACTACAGACAGTCTCCAGTTTATGATGGTTCGATTTACCATTTTTCTACTTTATGATGGGTTTATCATGGTGTAACCCCACTGTAAATCGAGGAGTATCTGGACTTAATGATTATCCAACTTATGTATGAATTTTTGACTTTGCAGTGGGTTAACTGGGGTACTAAATGCATTTTTCACTTATGGTATTATAAGTCAAGGAGCATCTGTGTATTTGAGCACTGCCCCAGCATAAGAGTAAGCAGGCAAAATGGCATGAGTCTGGAAATACTCATTGATGCATGTGTGTGTGAAGATAGTACCTGAATCCCGATCCCATGACTGTAAGTCTGGTGCCCCCTGCTGTACTGCCTCTCTTGGGAGATATTTCAGTGACAAGCGGAGTCAGTGACACAGTGTACATAAATGGAGTTGTGGACTGTGACAGATCTTTCCCATTGATCACAGTCACTTCACAAGCTTGCTCAGGTCCCCTGCCTATGAGAAGAAATCAAACTGAGTATAGTTCTGCCATCGAGCCCTTATTCATTTCCAAAACCACAAACATTCTCAATTATGTCTTCCTTTTCCTGCAATCACTTTCCAATATGCACAGGCTATATGTGAAGTGATAAAGACCTCTAGCAATAGCCAAAAACATCACAAAGTTCACGCACATTATCAACAGAGAAAAACCCCTTAGGCCTCCATTGGTGACTGTTACTGTAGACAATTCTACAAACCTGCCTGCTTGGTTTTCCAGGCCTAGGGGATCCAACATTACTAATTAAAGCAGAAAGGAGGAAAGAACTGCTAAAGGCAGGCGCAGTGAGCACGAAGTGACAGCTAAAGGCAAGGTAAGGACAGTGAAACTACAGAAACCTGATAAAAAATGCAAAAAGAAGA